TAATTAAAGTCAGGTAGAACTCTGTGCCTCCAAATCCTGTCTCTGTGTATTGTTCTGATCACTGTTTTTCATCAATAGCCATATTTTTCGAAGCATACAGTATAGTATTACGTACCTTGCAGGGACTTTAGTGCCACCAAGTTTTGTCTATGTATTTTGTTTTCTTCATTGTGATTCGTTAATAGCATTTTTGACTTTCCAGGGGTAATAAAAAGTTGGTGTACCAAAGGGCAGTGCTCATCTTGTCAGCACTCTAGTTGTTTAATAGCTCTATGGATCATTTACATTGATAAAGCAACTCTCCAAATTTGACTACCGACTGATGACACGTCCACGCAGAATTTTCTGCGACGATCCAATTTTGGGTTTAGACCGCTGGTACAGGCAGACTACAATAAAAAATATATACAAGATTGCAAAAAACCTTTCAAATAGATCTATTCGCGGAAAGAGTTTCACCCAGATATATACGATTGGCCGGGAAGATTATCTTTGACCTGTGGGATCAACTTTAAAAATAATTTTGGCATTTCAAACAATTTGATTAAGAACATATAAGAGGTTCTCTGGAAGTAAATAAATGTTTTGTTGAATTGAATTGAATATAGTACCAGCATAGTCAAAATAAAGTATCAATTTTTTTTATCAAACATACAGTTCATTAAAAAAAATGTTCAGGTACATACTTGACTTGAGATATTGTAAATTATGCCAGCACATATGCTAGATGCTAAACGGGTATAAATTATGTCAAAAAGCATAATTATGCTAGGTCTGGTCACTATAACGATGAAATCAGATGTTTTACGTTCTTGTTTTTTTTTTTTTTTTGTTTAAGTCTATTTGTGTAATTAAAGAAAACCGTAATTTAGAATGATTCATTAACTATGGTGTTGATGAGTATAATTGGTGATCCTATTAAGATAGATCCTAGTTAGTTGTTACTACAAGATAAGATATTTATAAGATAGTTTAAATTACCACCTTTACTTTGATAATTATATTACCTGTTAGTTTGTTAATGATTGTTTAGTAGTTTTCTGTAATCTATATTATAATTACCCATATTTTAAAGCCTGAAATTACAATAGGAAACAGAGGACGTCAAGATACGCATGGGATTCGAAACCTACTTGTCTAAAAAGACAAAATCATAGATCACCAAAGTCTCCAACTCGATGAAGTGAATATAATTCCATATTTCAGCTTAATTAAGGGAAAATAATGACTTTCACAGTCGTTTTTATTTTACCAGAGTACCTGTCCCGCGGACATGCTGATGGCTACGCATTTCTGAATTTGCTGGCCGTGTTATCAGTTGTTTTGCAGTGTCGTAATATTTCGTATTACGATGGGTTTTAAATAGATAGCCGTATGGACTGGAGGATATTCCCTGTCATGCATTTAGATTCGTGCGGTGTAACTCACTATAATGGAATCACAAGTTTCAAAAACTTTGCAATTTAATATACTGTAGATACATGGAAATTCTCATTCCATCAGCTGTGGAAATTTCACAAACCCGACAGGGATGAAGTTTTTTGGGTCAAGTTTCTTGGTTTTTTACAATAATTTATCAGTAAATTGAGTTGTCTAGTGGAAAAGCCCTTTAAAATTATTTTCCTGGACGTTAGAACTATTTACGGTGTACGTCGTTATAATTAGGCCGATCTTCTTTTAGTTGTCATGAATATTAATTGTTTCTTTTATCGAAATAATCGCGACGTTTCACATACTAGAGGGTAAGTGGGAGGGTGAGCGCACCCTTTAGTTTCATTAAATTTTCTTGTTGCTTGCAAACAGTAGTTTAATTTGCAGAAGCTCCGTTATATATATTTTTTGTTGGTTTTCGATTTTCTTTTAATTATAGATAGATATAATTTTAATTATGATTTCATCAGAATATGTATACAAACAGCAAATAAAAAAAATGTTGCATTCTTATAGAATTTCTTCACATTAATATAGATTCCTGGACTTTAACAAGCTGAGTATTTTACCGAAGTTTCCAAAAGGAATGCGGGACATGTGTGTATTACTATTTCTTTTTTTTTACTATATATTAATTTACTAATATACTATAAAATGCCTTGAGGTTGCTATAAAATTTATATATATATATATAGGCCTTATTATATGTCATCGAAATACATTATTATATAGTATAGTAGTCCTATAACTGTGAAGTATTTAACATAAAATTATAAACAAGTCGGTGTATAGTAGAATAGCAACACAAATATAAGGAAGATATATGATGTTGTTATACACATCAGATATAGACTTTCAACGAAAAAAGAGACAGTTATTTTTAAAAACTTACTATTTCTATCATTTACCTAGAAACAAATAAACGACCTGACCACATGGCAATGGGAATTCATTTCCTTAAGTTGTCAAAAATTTGAGAGTATTAATAAGCTATTCTGATATCTTGGTACTGTATCTTCATTGCAAAGGCCTACGCAGAGACGGAATACTGATAAATCAAAAGTTTTTAAATGTATATATTAATGTTTGTTTTTGCAGATCTGCTAAATACAACTATATTCAATCTATTGATGATGCATTTGAAGAATTAACTACGCTTATTCGACTGTTTGTTTGCTTTTCTTTAACAATTATACCATATTAAGCCTGATTATTGTACACTATACGAATTTCCTTACTATAACTTGTCACTTTATTTGCAAGTAATTTTTAAAAATTAAAACTACGTATTTGAACGAATTTACATCCACTCATAAAGATATCGGGGTATATAATTTCCTGGGCTCACATAAATAACACGTTAGTACTGTATGACTCATGGATTGTTCAATTCTTTAAATCTCCATTATAATTAGTGCTCGAATAAAGGAACTACCGGTATGTTGTAAAGATCGTCTTGGGCAAGAAAAATAATAATAACGAAAAGTTCCTTATCGATTGTTTGAAAAAGTGTCATTGGCTTAAATAACTTTTCAGTTGATAGATAAGATTTTATATGTACATACTACAGTGATTACGCAG